ATCCCAGAAGAATGTACTGTATATCTGAGCTAAGTGTGTATTAATTTCTCAATCTGTCCGACAAAGTAATCAGACTGACTATAAATGCCATAAGGTCTGCTGGTACTCACTTCCTGTGTCACCTAATGGTGCTAGTTATTAGCAGAGGCCATACAGCTTCTATTCTGCAGCAGGGCACCTTGAGCTGACCAAGTGATTACTCTAAACTGCTGTAGCTCTGTGCCAGAGCATACCAGCGCCATATCCCATCGACCAATTAATTCATTTGTAAAACAAGATGGGCATAACTCAGCACAATTTGAAAACTGACCTCCAATTTTGCTGCCTCGTTTTTAGCAGTTTCCACTGCTGGCTCCTCTCACAGGCTGACTTGCAGGTTTACATTCCATTAGAAACATTGCACAACTGAATTTAACATAAAAATGCAATGGTATGATAACAAAGATTGATTAAAGCACTTTGGAGACATTTTGAGGTGATAAGCCACTATAAAAATGGAAGTTCTTTCTTCTTTTTATGAAAATACAGGATAACCCTGTTATAATGCGATGCTCTGGGCACTCAGACCTCCCCACCCCCCCGTCAAAATGAAAGCAAAAATCAGCCAACTTCTGAGTCATCACTTAAGGTCACTGACCGATGTCCTTCCTGTGAAATGCGCAGGAACTGACAAGTAGCGCTTCCTGTGCATAGCGCTCGCTCACGGTGCTTAAAAAGTGATAACTGGGCTTTTCTGAGCTATCTATTAGTGCGGAAAACCAACAATATGTGCCGTACCGTGCTTCCAGTAACAGATAATTAGCAAAGGTTGTTTTTATCTCATTTTACTTATCAGGAGATTCCACACAAAACTGTTACCAATCTCATTCCGAAAGGCCATAGATAGTTTATGTGCAACGTTGGAACAATTGACAGGGAGCTTTACTTGCTAATTAACTTCTGCTGTATGTATTAAACATGCACCTGTGAGTGTTAGGTAAGACAGTGTGGAGCACACTTTACTCTGTATCTAACCTGTGGTGTGTCTAAACTAGCAATGGTAAAGAAAGTATAGAAGAGGTTATTTAACCTATGCTACGAATGAACTGGGATTGGTGAATACTGTACTAAAAAAACGTTCGATTAACAGCACAGAAGAGTCTCCTCTCGACGAGTGCATTGACTGTCTAACAGGAAAGGTTGTATCTCCATTGTTACCAATTACCAAGCGGAGCTGAGATGCTTGATTTTTTGTTTTTTACCAAAATCCCATGAGTTATCATTCAAGGGGAAACAGAATATCAAGACTCACAGCCTTGTCAGCAGGTGTAAATAGAATGAATCATTCACCGTGTTAATCCAGAAAAGTAGCCACACAGCAATCCTTTCTGTCTTTACAGAAGATGGTCTATATTAATGAAGGTTAAGAAGGCCAATATCAAGCTTACTTTGCAAAAACAACTTGCTTCAGTCAAAACTGCAACCTATCCGTATAATGGAGCAGGATTTCGGTGCTGACACAGTATATCTGATGCCTCTGCTGTGCATCAATATCAGTCCTTGAGAGGCTGACCACAGCTTGCTGGAGGTCATACAAAAATCAATAGCCACTCTACGCTGCCTACAATCAGGCCATTCCAAACAAAGGCAGGGGATTTATTAGCTGTTGCAAACACCTAACACAATCATCCACTGCTCCCTGCATTTGGAATAAGCACCGGAATTAAATCACAGGACAAGGTGCTTTAATGTTCCCACTGTAAGCTTTCCAATTCAGCAACAAAGGCCCTGAGTCTACCATTTAAAGCCATTGATCGCTTTTAATTGATTAGATTTATATTTAAAGGCTCTCGTCAATTGTTTGAATGCCAAAGAGCAAACACTCTGCACCCCTGAGAGACAGAAAGTGAGCATCCCTAGCTTTCCTAGGTTTATCACATTCACAGCAAGAGTAAAAGAGAAAAGCGAATTCAGGGGCATCTGTCACTCAGCTGATCAGCTTGATCTTTCTCACCCCCCCCACCCCACCACCACCCAACATACACACATACACACTCACTTTTCTACCCTCTCTCCTGAATGTACTGCCTCAGGCCAGGATTCCTGACAGGACCTTGTCCCAAGTGCCCATTCTTCATGTTAACCCTAGACAGCGTGGCCAAGGCAATTGATTACATAAGAAATGCTGGACGAGAAAAGATCAAGGTCCACCTAGTTTGCCTTCCACCTTCCAGGCGGTCGCATGCACATAGTGCCCAAACTACCTATTGTCTGGGGGGGCATCACAACTGAGCTTGATTACGGATGTGAAAGACGCTATATAAAATGTAATTTGTTGTTGTTGTTCTCATGATGTCCACACAAAGGCACATACTCATTCGCTCACCCACAGAAACACAGTTATACATGCATTGGATGGAGACACACACACAAATACAGGCTCATACACGTATACAGACATGTACATACAGATACGTATTTACATACATGCACCCACACAATTTTCTTTGTCAGAAGTTAGTTTTGTAGAGTGCACAAATCCTTGCATTTGATATAATGCCTCATCACGTCTTCGAGACGTCTCAAAGTACTTCACAGAATATACTGCAAAGCGTACTATTTTGTGGACGAAATATGGCAGCCAATTGCACACAGTAGTGTCCCACAAACAGGCGTGGATTGAGTGTCAAATTTATTTTGAAGGAATTATTACACCTGGAAAAGCAATCCGCCAATTGACTAATAACCGGGTTCCTACTTATTGCTAGGTAAGCAGAGGCGTGTGGAGTAAGGAAAACTTGCCCAACGTTTTGCTCTGCCAGGAATCGAACCCAGGTCTCTCGCTTGCGAGGCGAGTTGCTCTAACCACTGAGCTACAGGACTTCATGTTGCTCAGTGGTATAGCTCAGTACCACACTGCTAGCAATCATATGTGGTATATTTACTCACTAAGCCATCAGAGGAGTCTCTGCCAACCCCTTGTGATTGTTTAGAGCTTTTCTAATCCACAAAATAAACACACTGTCTGCCAGGCTGGTCATGTCGCAGTAGTTAATGCTATTAAAGGAGTTTTTGTCTATTGGTGAAGGAGGGATCGCAATTCAACATCTATTAGAAGCTGTGGCATTTCAGGTGCTGTCCTGGAGAAGTGGCTCTATCCCGAAAGCAACATTTTAAATTTATTTATATTGTTTGACCATTTCTAAACCATACCAACAATTGGATTGCCACAACACAATAGATGGGGGAGGTGGGGAGGAGGAGAAGAGAACAGGTGGATATAATAAACTCAATTCACACAGCTCATGATTTTGTTAACTGTGTAAGGTCGAGATTAAAAATAATTCTTCAAATATCAAAAATGGAATCTGTTTCTCCCTCTGTCCCTCACTTCCAATGAAGGAAACTGTACGATATAGGGGAGAAAGAGAGGGTAATAAAATAACACAATAAAATTTGCACCAACATCATTGGATTTTTCCCCATAATTTTCAAGGAAGAATTATGCATCCAACTATATAGTTTAGTGACCATATATACATATTTTTAATTTTACTTTCTTTTCAGTCAGTGATACGCCACCATCGGTTCTTAACTGTAGTAATAATCTTATGGGAAGGGAAGTAGAAGAGAACTGCAAACAGGGAATGATTGAAGATTTTCCACTAGTTATATGAATAATAATAATCCTTGCATTCGATATAGTGTCTTATCAAGTCTTCTAGACGTCTCAAAGAGCTTCACAGAATATACTGCAAAGCATACTCCTTTTGGATGAAACGCGGCAGCCAATTGCGCACAGCAGTGTCCCAAAACAGTCGTGGATTGAGTGACTAAATTATTATTACCACCGGAAAAGCAATCTGCCAATTGACTAATAAACCGGTTCCTACTTACTGCTAGGTAAACAAAGGCATGTCGAGTAAGGAAACTTGGCCAATGTTTTGCCCTGCCAGGAATCGAACACTGGTCCTCCTACCTGCGAGGCGAATGCTCTAACCACTAAGCTACAGGACTCCATGTGGTACTTAATTGCACTTGTGTATACACACAGAGGGTTAGAAATATAATTACATAAAAAGCAGTGAGACACGGACAGGGCAGCCTGATAAACTAATGTATAAACACAACACGTGAGGATTTAACTTACCCTGATCATAAAAATAACCAACCTTTTTGCTACGTCTAAAGATGTATGACAAGGTACAGAGGGGGAAAAAATCTCCTTTAGTTGGAAAAAGAGGCATAAACTCAGTGTTGCTAGCAAAAGAATCAGAGGAGAGATTAGAAGGAATTTCTCCAACAGTGGCTTAGTAGGATTTGTGATTTATAGTCATAAATGATGATTGAGGCTGGATCAATAAAATCATGAACAAAAATGCATAAGAACTAAGCAGTAAAAACATTAAGGGATATGTAGAAAGAGCTGCAAAATGGGATGAATAAAAAAAACAATAAAACAAACACAGATGTAACCATGGCAAAGACATGGATGGGCCAAATAGCCTCCTTCAGTTCCAAAAAATGCCTGTTCCTCTCTCGGTATTTTGTGCTGCAGGATTTACCCCATTATAAAGACTGAGTAAAGAGATCGCTATGTTTAAGGATCACAGTAAAATAGTCATTGTGCCTTATAGACCATGAAAATCCATGCTGAGTCAGCTGACGTCAGCCAGAGTAACAATGAGACATTGCAATAATTGGGTAGGGGGTGAAGGCTATAGCCAGATTCCTTCTCATCACTATACTACGCTCCAAAACACACTCTCAATATCAGGGGGTCTCGGATGAACAATAACAATTGAGTCGCACTGTCCTCAGGAAGAAACAAATGGGAGAAGATTGGGACAAGGACAAAGTGAGGAAAGCAACTGTATGGTAAGCTACGGGGTGACAATGTACTGAGTGATAATTATCACCTCACAGACTACATTTTTATCCACTTTTCAATTATTTTCTTTAGCTTTACTCTCAGGCCCACGTACGATTCCATTGCCCTCACCCTGCTGGTCAGTGCTTACCATACTTGGCTCCATCCTCTCCCTTAGCGTTGATCCGTCTCCCCAGGACCTGCAGGTGTTTGCCGCTTGTGCGACTGTACAGTTGATAGAGGCGAACGTGCTTTCGGCTCACATCATCCCTCAGCCTGGTGTGATTCTCCACATGATTCCGGAAATCCACATTCTCCTCCGTGGAAGCCTGTAATCAACACCATCGAGACAGATAACAACCCCATCCAGCAGTGTCCAATCAACACCCGCGCACAGCTAACACTAAGCCCAACTCAATTATCCCTCTGAGCTCCACAGCAGCACCTTATGCGAGAAATTGTTGAGTTTCACTCTGTCAGATTGTTCAGAGAATAGCACTTACTGGAAAATTATTTTGCCTCCTTAATGCCGGATAATTTTTATAATAGCAATTATTCGGCCTTTCCAGAATTTTCGAAAACTTCCGATTGTACGAAAACTATATCGAGATGCATCCTGTGAAGAATAAAGGGTGATGTAAAGCCCCCTGCCCTCCTCCAACCCTGGCACAGCTGGTAAAACCCCCATTACCCAAAGTCATTGACATCAGGAAGTTCACATATTCAAATCGTGTTCTGCACTGATCTATCTGATCAGCCAGTGGAGTGTTTAAGACGATACAATTGACCTGAGTGGTCCTGACTGGGAAGCGAAAATCAGGGAGGGGTCTTGCCATTGATCACTATTCGGTTTTGTCACTCAAATTATCCCCCATCCACTTCCTCACCCCCAGTGGAAAATTTCAAGTGAGCATAGGAATGGCCTCAGCGGTAACACGTTCACATGAAGAATGACGTCAAGTGAGGTACCAGAGCGAGAGGACACCTGTCACCCATTGAACTATAACCCAGCATGAAGGCAGGGCGAAGAGAAAACCGAAGGAAAACTAAATAACAAAGGGTTAATGAGACACTAGCGACTCTATACCCTTCCTTGGGCTGTCTGACCCACACAAAGTCTCAGCCAGGTAACAAGAACAAGTTGCAATTATACAGCATCCTTCAAGCAGCACAGTGTCTGAGAGTCCTGACTGTTCGGAAACTGGGATTTATAAAGCAGAACTAAATCAACAGGTCCTCCCTGTGACAGACTGAGAGAGAAAGTTGCATGAATGGCAGCAACATGTAAATGTAACGATTATTTATTATTATTATTAGTGTAAACAAAATGCCACATCGTCTTTGTTATATAGTTTCATGATTTACTTACAGAGATACAATTGGTTTATATTAGGACATTCTCAAAGGAAATCATCATAATAATAATCCTTGAACCTGATATAGCGTCGTATCACGTCTTCTAGATGTCTTAAAGTGCCTCACCGAATATAATGCGAAGTGAATTGACTTTATATTTTGTGGGCAAAACGCGTACAGACAGCAGTGTCCCACAAACAGTGACCAAATTATTCTTATTATTTTGAAGGAATTATTAATCAGTCAAAACTTAGCGATGTTTAAATTTATCGCTTGCTGATCCGTAAGCTTTATATTACGATTGCTCTCCCCTCCTCTCCAGAATACATTTGACTCTCACTGGGGCTCAGCTCCATGGGCGCCAGACACCCTCCAGAACTTCACAGCCGAGTGTTGAGTGACAATGAATATCAGCCATTCAACCATGAGGGCTTCACAACTCGGGCCCGATCCCGTCCTGACATTCACGGACAACACACCCTGGCAGGATCTCGGAACAGGCGTCACAAATGGCAATCTTGCCTTGTTCGATCCCTGCCTCGCTAAACCAGTGGCTCTGAGCCCTCGCTGCTGCTCCAGGTGAGATCCAAATCAACTTGGGGATTAGGATTTGGGATGTTCCTAGTCCGTGCGGTTTACGTGCTTTAACTGGCTGAGCCATCGAAGGAGCACACGGTCGATTCGCAATATTACATATTTGTTTCGTTGATTTTCCCATTGTGGTGGAGTATCCGAATGCGTTGAGCATCGGCAAAACAGGCTTCAAATTGTGGCATTGCAAATCTGGCAGCATCAATAGGCACATTAATTAATTAATCAATCAATTAATTAATTAATCACTAATTGATTAACAATTAATTAATTAATCACTAGGTAATTGGAGTTGATGTACAGATCAGCCACGATCTAATAGAATGGCGAAACAGGCTCGAGGGGCTGAATGACCTATTCCTGTTCCTGTGTACAATTCAAATCACGGACGGGTTTTGCTTTGGGGATGTTTTTCAACCGAGAAAAGACTTGAAAAGTCTGACAAACAACTGGCAAGTAAAATCACCAGCCTAAAACAGGCCTCGAGCACTGCAATGTTTGTCTTGTAGTCCCCAGGTTGGGTTCCCAGACAATTCTGTAAAAGAGATGAGTCATCCTCGCGACGTGAAAGGTGCCATATAAATGCAAAATTCTTGTTGTTGCTGTAGTGAATCATGTCAATTCATTCACAAACTGCAAGTAACAATTAGCCCAACAAATGCTGCATTTTCAAGCCCAACATGAGTGAGAAAGACAACGTTTATATTAGCGCCTTCCACATCGGGAGGACACCTCAAAGTGCTTCACACAACCGACTGAGAGCCTGAACATTGCCGAGGTGGATTGGAGGAGGGTGGAGGAAGGAGACAAAAAGGCTGGTGAAAAAGATAGGTCTTATGGCGGGTTTTAAAGTGGGGAAGGAGGTTATGAGGCTGACGGAACGCTAGGGTGAAGAGCGGCAGAAAGCAAACAACAAACACCACTCTTGCCTCTGAGTTAGAGGGTTATGGGTTCAAGATCCACATCAGCCTCAGAGAATTTCCAAGCAATGAGATAACGTTTTATATAAAAATATCAAAAATATACAAAATAATCATTGTGAGCGATGAATGAGAAGCATTTTAAAGAGAAGCTGTACTTATATCAAGACTGAACGGCCCTGTAACTATTAGTTAACTACCGTCAGCTTATTTCTTGAGAGAAAAATGCTCAAACATGCTTCATAAAAAGCGTATGATTTTTATCCGTACTTGCAATTTATTTTTTCAAATGGTAAGTATTGGAAGTGATTTTAATATAAAATATAATATTCATGTAAATATGAACTCACCCACTCACCCACCTATATATCCACCATGAGTACTGCACACACGTTATCAGTACCAGATTGTTCACTATCCTAAATTACCTTCAATGTATTATTTTCTAAAAGGATAAATTAAATGCTTCCAGGTCAACAGAGGTTCTACAGAGTTCAGCTCTTTCTACACTGTTTCAGCCAGCACTCCCAGGTCAGGCAAATCACAAGTCAATGCAGAATAACGTTCCTTCTGTTTTGCCTCGACAATGTTTCAGCCCAAGCTCAGAAGAGTATCTAGTATTGCACCAACGTGACATTTTTCATCTCCCACACCACCGTCTTCTTTGAGATTACTAATTTAGTGCCAAATTAAGGGCAGCCTTTTGCTGTGAATCCAACCCTGGGGGAATTCGGTTAAGACAATTCTTGGATCTAAACGGAACTAAATCCATTTCACTTGAAATCTGCAGATAGAGACTTTCAGCATAAACCTTTTTCAATTATCATTTTAAATGATGTTCCTTGCCCTTCGATAAAGTTTCAAAAACATCAGGACTATTGCAAAATAAAATGTTATCTCTTTAAATGATTAAAGCATGAAAGCAATTTACAAAGATGATATGGCGTTTTATTCATTTATAATAAATAATCCTTGCAATTAATATAATGCCTGATCATGTTGGAATATCTCAAAGTGATTCACACAATAAGTTACTTTGATGTGCAGTGACTGTTATGTAGACAAACTTGGCAGCTAATCTGTAGCAGCAACAAACCCCCACACCCCCCCAACCCACACACACACACACAAACGACACAGCAAAAACTAATTAATCTGCTTTGGTGGGTGAATTTGGCTGAGGGAGGAATGTTGGGCAGGATACCAAGAGAACTCCCTGCTCAGCTTCCAAAGAGAATCTAACCTTCACCTGATCCAGCAGAACAGGCGGGCGGGAGAGAAGTTTAATTACAGCACTGCAATAATTATGGTTTCTTACTGCATTGCTGATCAGAATCCTCTGACAACAACTTATGTTTTACACATCTGTTCGGCATCTGGTAAACCAGATCAATACCTGGTAAACTAGGATCTGGATCAATAGACTGCTAGACCCTCCCTCGTACAGGATTTCATTCACATAAAAGCCCGTATTCGAGTTCAATCTAGCTATAGACTCGTGCGTTTTTTTTAAAAAACGTCTTTTCAAAAGTAAAACTTTCTTCTCACAATAGATTAACACACCTATCACCCTATTGCTGTGCTCAATTGGCTGTTGCGTTTCGCCCACAAAATATACGGTCACTACAATTTACAGCACATTCTGTGAAGCACTTTGGTACATCTCAAAGACCCGATAAGGCGTTTATCAAATGCAAAGATTATTATTATTAACAGGTAAGGACTGAGCCTTGCACACAAGTGGGTGTGGGTTCATCCACAGTGGGTTACTGCAGTAGAGTAATGTCTGGGCGATCAGTGCCTGATAAATCAGGACACATTCTTTTCCAAAAGTCTGCTTAACTTCGGGAAGGGCAAAAAGCCTCATTAATCTGAAACTGGATTCATTTACACGCCTGTGTTTTTTTTTGGGAGGGGGCGGTGGGAGAAAGAGTCAGGTACAGAGTCCTGAGCCATCTTCCAAGCCAACTCCGAGCCGATCGATTGAAGGAAGGAAAGGAAGGAAGCCCCTGATTTAATCAAAACCTTTATATATATATTTCGGGGGGAAAGTGGGGGCGGGGGGTTTAAACAGCAGCCAAATTGAGGGGAGCAAAGGGCATATTCGCAACCTTCATCCGCCCTGTTACTGACTGCTGCTGAGTGAGAGAGTGAGACAGAGAGAGTGAGAGAGAGTGAGAGAGAGAGAGTGAGCGAGAGAGAGAGAGAGTGGCTCCCACGGTACTGCGGAGTGGGGCGTTTCTGGTGAAATGTTATGATTGCAAAGTCCATGGGTTTGACAGAACATCTGGAAATATTCGAGCTTTTTTTTCCAAAAAATGATATATTTTTTTGGTGGTGGGGGGAGGGAGGGAGGGAGAGAGGGGGGAGAGGGGGGGGGGAGAGGGGGGGGTTAAACTCCTTTCTGTGCAGTTCACAAGCTTTGCAAGGCAATCCCTTTCTAACCTTATTTACCCCCCACCCCAGTTTCTTTTAGTTTCAGAGTGGGGGGGGGGGGAATAAAAATATAAATTGGGACACTTAATTGGATATCACCAAACAAATCAAGTGTCAAAACAGAGAGAGAGAGAGAGAGGGAGAGAGGGAAGGGGAGAGGGAGAGAGGGAGAGGGAGGGAGGGGGAGAGGGAGAGGGAGGGGGCTGTGGGGTTTGGGAGACAGCGCCCATCTCTGTTACATGGTGTGTGTGTGTCTGTGTGCGTTTCTTTTCGGGGGAGAATTATAAAGAAAATAGTAATTCTCCTTAAAAGTTCAAAAGGGGTTGGTATTGCAAAATGCAATGCACTAAAATGCCAACCCCTGGAGGTGCTGTGACTCTCCTTTTCTTTTTATATAAAAAAAAGACACACACATAGAAATCGATCCCCACGTTTCATAAACCATCGGTTTAAAATCCAGCTTTAAATACTGTATATATATATATATATAGATATGAAAATATATAGATGATATAAAGTGCCTGGGGGTGATGGGGTGGGATGGGGGGATGGAGTGGGGGGGGTGCAGACAGAGGCAATGTTAATCACAATCCTAATAAGTCTTACACTTACCGGAATCTCGGAACAGAGCAGAAGTGTGTGTAAACATCTGTGAACAGGACAGAAAAACACAGTGTATTAACAGCCACGATCACTCCTCCAGTGGTGGACACCCCAAGATCCCACTCCATTTCTCTGCTCCAAATAAAGTCCATTAACATTTTCCTCCTCCACCACCACCACCACCACCGCCAGCACCAGCACTCTGATGAATTAATATATTTTGGTGTATATATATATAAAAAAAACATCATAAGCTTCTTTCATTCAAAAAACAGCACATATACACACACACATATATATATATATATATAGAGAGAGAGAGAGAGAGAGAGGTGGAGAAACATATACACATATATATATAGAGAGAGAGAGAGGTGGAGAAACATATACACATATATATATAGAGAGAGAGAGAGAGAGGTGGAGAAACATATACACATATATATAGAGAGAGAGAGGTGGAGAAACATATACACACACACATATATATATAGAGAGAGAGATGGAGAAACATATATATATATATATATATATATATATATAAATAGAGAGAGAGAGAGATGGAGAAACATATACATATATGTAGAGAGAGAGAGAGATGGAGAAACATATACATATATAGAGAGAGAGATGGAGAAACATATACACATATATATATAAATAGAGAGAGAGAGAGAGATGGAGAAACATATACATATATATTCGTATCGCTGGAACTCGCATCAAATGGCAATCAAACACTGTGAGAAAGTTTTCTGCTCGGGGTTTGCTTACAGGCAGGTCAGTGCGGAGAGGACTGAATGCATAGCGCACGGTGTCGGGGTCTCTTGGCACTTCGGGGAGGAGGAGAGGAGGAGGAGGAGGAGGAGAGGAGGAGAGGAGGAGGAGAGGAGAAATGGTCCAATGTTTGGTGTCTGTCCCCTGGCAGCTCAGTCCGATGGCAGTGGGGCTGTGTGTGTGGGGGGGGTGTGTGTGGGGAGGGGGTGGGGGGCTGTGGGGGGAGGGCTGGCGATGCTCTGTGGCTCTGTGGCTGTGGTGCTGATGGGGAGACGAGGAGGGGATGTGGGCGACCCCGGCATCAGCGCTTCCCTTGTCCACTGTAAGGGAGGGAGAGGTCCGAGGGGTGGGTGGGAGGGAGGGTGGGAGGGGAGGAAGGGTGGGGGTGGGGGTGGGGAGGGGGTTGGGGGGTGTTGGAGGCTCCTTAACCTCTGCGATCCACTGGAAATCACCCACTGGGGTCACCCTCTGATGATGAGGTCCACGATCCGCTGTGTGTAATAAAGCTCCTCCACAGCCGTGTGTCCCCCCGACTGCCCCTCTCTCCCCCTCTCTCTCTCTGTGTCCCCCCGACTCCCCCTCTCTCTCTCTGTGTCCCCCCGACTCCCCTCTCTCTCTCTCTCTGTGTCCCCGACTCCCTCTCTCTCCCTCTCTCTCTCTCTCTCTCTGTGTCCTCTCCGCACCCAATAGGTGTAAACACACAGAACGCCGAGTCTTCTCCTTCCCCCTCTGTTGGTGCTTCTGTGCTGATGGCTGACGGGTTTTCCTTTGCCTCTGATCTGAGCTTCGATCTGTCCTCTCCCCCTCTCCCCCTCTCCTCCTCCTCCTCTTCTCCTCCTCCTCCTCCTCCTCCTCCTCTTCTCCTCTCCTCCTCCTCCTCTTCTCCTCCTCTCCTTCTCCTCCTCCTCTTCTCTTCTTCTCCTCTTCTTCTCCTCCTCTTCTTGTCCTCCTCCTCCTGTGTGTGTGTGTGTGTGTGTCTTGTCTCCACGGCCTATAATAGCAGTTGATTAATTCACCATATGTGTGTGTGTGTGTGTGTGTGTGTGTCCTCCCGCAGGAGTGATGGAAGGGGGAGAAAGGAATGGTCAGCCCTCCCTCCCTCCCTCCCTCTCTCTCCCTCCCTCCCTCTCTCTCTCTCTCTCGGTGTGGTTGTGGGGGGTTTGGTGGGTGGGGGGTGTGTGGGTGGGTGGGGGGTTGGGGGGTGGGGGGGTGGGGGGTGTGAGAGAGGTGTCAGGAGAGCCTGAGGGCTGCAGAACAATGCTGTTCGCTGTCAGTGTCCTGGAGGGTCATACTTGGTCCTCTCCTCCTCTCTCACAGCATCTCCAGCTCCAGACCCGCACCGCACCCGCACCCGCACCCGCACCCACCAGCCAGTGCCCCCGCACCCCAGCCCATCCCAACCTGCAGCCAGTGGGTAGGGGGGGGGGGGGAGAGGGAGGGAGGGAGAGAGAGGAGAGAGAGAGAGGGAGGGAGGGAGGGAGGGAGAGAGGAAGGCAAATAATTACTGATATGAAAATAATGTCAGCAGTTTGGCAGATAGACACCCAATAAATGTGTGTGTCTGTGTGTCTCTCTCTCTCTCTCTCTCTCTCTCACTCAGCTCCCAGGGAGAGGTGTGTCCCCCTCCCCTTCTTTATATGTGTCACACATTCCCTCCCTCCCTCTCTCCCTCCCTCCCTCTCTCCCTCCCTCCCTCTCTCACTCTCCCTCCCTCCCTCCTTCTTTCTCTCTCTCTCTCTCTCCCTCTCCCTTCTCTCACTCACTCTCTCACTCACTCACTTCACTCACTCTTCCCTGACATCAGACCTGTCCACTCAAGAATTTCTCAAACCTCCTTCACGGCTATAATTTGTTTAAATAAAGCAAATAGGAGTCATTTGGGTTTTTTTGCACAAGAAACAGCTGTTTTTTTTCAAAAAAAACACTCGTACATATACAACACACAACTGGAATGCGTGTGTGTGTGTGTGTCTCACCCTCACTCCCTCTGTGTGTGTGTGTGTGTGTCTCACCCTCACTCCCTCTGTGTGTGTGTGTGTGTGTCTCACCCTCACTCCCTCTGTGTGTGTGTGTGTCTCACCCTCACTCCCTCTGTGTGTGTGTGTGTGTGTGTCTCACCCTCACTCCCTCTGTGTGTGTGTGTGTCTCACCCTCACTCCCTCTGTGTGTGTGTGTGTGTCTCACCCTCACTCCCTCTGTGTGTGTGTGTCTCACCCTCACTCCCTCTGTGTGTGTGTGTGTCTCACCCTCACTCCCTCTGTGTGTGTGTGTCTCACCCTCACTCCCTCTGTGTGTGTGTGTGTGTCTCACCCTCACTCCCTCTGTGTGTGTGTGTCTCACCCTCACTCCCTCTGTGTGTGTGTGTCTCACCCTCACTCCCTCTGTGTGTGTGTCTCACCCTCACTCCCTCTGTGTGTGTGTGTCTCACCCTCACTCCCTCTGTGTGTGTGTGTCTCACCCTCACTCCCTCTGTGTGTGTGTGTGTGTGTGTCTCACCCTCACTCCCTCTGTGTGTGTGTGTCTCACCCTCACTCCCTCTGTGTGTGTGTGTGTGTGTCTCACCCTCACTCCCTCTGTGTGTGTGTGTCTCACCTTCACTCCCTCTGTGTGTGTGTGTGTGTGTATATGTGGTGGGGGGAGGTGTATGTATGTGAGGGGGGAGGTGTGTGTGAGGAATATTTGTGTGTGAGGGTGTGGGGTGTGTGTGTGAGGGTGTGTGAGGGTGTGTGTGTGTGTGAGGGGGGGTGTGTGTGTGATGACAGAGGTATGTGTAGAGTGGGGAGGTGTGTGTGTGAGGGGTATGTGTATGAGGGGGATGTGTGTTTATGTGAGAGGGGGGAGGGGTGTATGAGGGTGGAAGAGGTGTGTGTGTATGTGTGTATGGGGGAGAAATGTATGTGTGAAGGTGTGTGTTTGTGTATGGATGGGAGGTGTGTGTCTGTGGGGGGAGTGTGTGTGTGTGGCCGGGGTGTGGGGGGGTATGTATTGAAGTTTGAGATCTGGGGAAGAGGAGTTGGAGTGAGTTGAGCCAATATGGGGCGGAGGGTGATAGACAGACATTATTGGTTGTGGATTGCAGATGGAATTTACAAAATGGACACAAACAATATCATCAGAGGTTCGGTTCCTTCCGCCTCCTGCACTTGACCTCAGTAACCAGCTTTTGGCTGGTAGTCCTCGCCCAAGCAAGATTTCTTTTGATTTTAATTATCGTTAATTTAATTCAACAATGAGCCTTTGACATGAGTCGCAGCAAAATAAAACCTTTATCAAGACAAACTTGCATCGCTAACATGAGTGGACGCTGTATGGGTGTACGGGTTGCGTCAGTTTCATTCACAATCTTGATTCTACATGTTTATTAAACAAACAGTTGGAATTTTTAGGGGAGAATATTTGAGAGTAGAATCCTCGTTGTGGTGAGGATTAGTGCCATTTGTACCCTGCCCTCCCCACCCAGCTAACACCTTCCCCCTCCCCCTAATTCACTCTTATTTCAAATTGGGTGTGAGAGCATTGACAAGTTCCAGAGAGAGAAGCATTTGGTAGCTTTTGCCATTGGGTTAGTTTGAGCCCCTTTCTGTCAAATGTACCTTTGATACCCCAGAATGCTGGTCACTGGCCAGTCCCATTCCTAAACACAATCTCCTCTTTTACATTTTTTGGGGGCGTTGGAGAATACATTGTGAACTGGGATCATTGATTTCCCTATTCCTCAGCCTCTCTCTCTCTCTCTCTCTCTTGCTCAGCAGGAATCCAGAGCAGGAGACGATTTGAGATTTTTAACAGGTTCAGTAAGGTTTCTTTTTGCGGAACGAAAAGTATTTTTTATATAGAAATACCTTGACGGTGGCAAACGATTGTTCTCCAGGTCGAGATTTGAATTCAATAACAATGTCAAATGTTTTTACTCCGTGTATTAATTGGGTGAATTATAGGTAAGGTTAACTCTATCATCTAATGCAGTCACGAATCCTTTGATGTTGTAAGTACTTATTCGGCTGGTTGGTAGCTTTCTTTGTATATTCCAGTTCCTCAGAAGGAAGGTATCAGACCCTGAGCTCTAGGTGCTATCCTTGCCTAACAATGGCTATCTGCTCTTCTCAGCATGTGACAGCCACTCTGGCCTGGAGCTTTTGGTTATAAAGAAACACCTCCGTGATGGGAGGATTTTCACTTACCCTTTAATTCCAGTGGATTTGTGTGTGTGTGTGTGTGTGTGTGTGTGTTTGTGTTTCCATGATAGTGGGGGAGAGAAATGTGTCAACACAAATTTTCAGCAGAGAAGGAGGTCAGTTCAGCCATGGCCAACTCTTGTGTTTTTTTAGTCACTTTTGTTTATTAATAATGACCCATGCATTTGATATCCGTACCATAACCTCGCATGGCGAGCACTGAAATGTCTCAACGCGCTTCAAAATAATTGCTGTGAACTGTAGTAACTGTGCATTTGTAGGCAAACACAGCAAGCCAATTTACGCACAGCAAGATCCCACAATCAGCCCTGCAGTAAAGGAGTAATTTATCTGCGGGAGTGTTGGCTGGGACACCAGGAGAACTTCTCTTCTCTTTTGAAATTGCAGTTTTCAGTTCTTTTCCCACGTAACAATGTTAGGACAGATGGAGGTGGTTAGAGTGGGGTTTGCTATCAGCCGGCACTTATTTTTGCCAGAAGACGGCTGATGTTTTTTTTGCAATAGTGAGTTTGACGCCAGACTGCGTGCTTTGCCTCGCCACATAGAACTTGGGAGTGGATTACACCACGGTGGCTTTTATACAGTCTCCAAGCTTTTAAATGGACAAGTCATCGATCTCAAGAGAGGTGTCGCCATTATGTTTCGCACCCAACGACTTCATGCACCTTACTGCACGTTAGGTATTCATAGATCTCACACACACACATATTTTATCTGTATTTGGAGTTTGAAGTGAAAGAGAATTAGTGGAGTCAGGATAGCAGCACAGACAAGGAGTTGTCTGAGTATTATGTGCTGCTGTCAGTCGCTGCTAACTTTATCCAGGTCGAGCCAGGTCCATGTGGAACTCCACAAGATCACAAGAGAGATGGGGAAGAGAAAGGCCCCTCAGTCCATTTGGCTTCAACCATCCAGAACACTTAGTCCACTATCTTCCCGTTAGATAT